AGACCTGATTTGCAAGAAAGCTTTTCTGTGTCTTAATTATAATGCCTCGTTTATGCAGTTAATTACAGAGTGCAGTGCTCATTAACATCTGTCTATAGCATTCACAAAGTACATTGGGTTTTTTAATAAACTCACAATGCGCTGCAACTGTTCATATAATCTGTTCCCCAGGTATATTCAACAGATGTGTTTACTGTGGCATGCTGCTGATATCACAGTGGAAAAAATAAGTCACAAACAGATGAAAAGCAGCACAAAGCATGAATGTTGGAATTGTACTGTAGTTAAGACGTGCATGTTTTCTCCTTTCCAGCGTTAAACTGCTTTAGATGTCTCTCATAAAGCAGCTTGTGCTCCCAGTTTTGATGAGTTTAATAAAGGTCAATCCAAAGTCACACATAATAAATCACTTTGATAGAGTCTCTGTTTTGCCAAGTAGCGTGTCATAGAATAATAGATGTTCCTGTTGCAACTGAAGGTTACTCACTGCCCGGTTGTGCTTTCAGTTTTTATTGGTTTAATTTTACAGGCAGTGGTGACTAACAGATTTTTCAAATGCCATCCCTTGTCTCACAGGTGTCTTTATCGCTCTTCTGCTTCTATGCATGTTTGCTTTCGTGGATTTGGACCCAGAAGTGAGGGTTTTCTGTTTGGCTGAATCTTACAGCTGTGTTTGGCCTGTTATACAGCTGTGTAACTGCTGTGAAAAGGAAATCATTGTGTGTATCTGGGACAGAAGAATGCCTCTCATGACCTGACGAGAGGAGAAGGGAGAAATAAAAATGGGCCACTTATTTATATCTCTTAAAATATGCTGTGGGGGCCCGTGTGTGATGTGGTCAGTGGGAAAGGTCGGCCCAGTTTTCGGTCCCTTCCGTGACTGTAGGATTATAATGCATGAATGGCTGATAGAGAACTACTGAACTTGAGATGCTTTATTCATGTGGTTCATATCAAGAATCTGTGGTCTATAGAATCACTGTGGTTTGTAGAATCAAAGAATCACTGGCTTCTGTGCAAACGTGTATTCGCTTTTTTTGTATCCATGTTAAAGGGTTAGTTCACCCAAAAATGAAAATTAAGTCATTAATTACTCACCCCCATGCTGTACCAACCCCCTAAGACCTTCGTTCATCTTCGGAACACAAATGAAGATTTTTTTGATTAAATTTGAGAGCTGTCTCACTACCACATTGGCTGCCTAAGGGACTGGCTCTTGACGGCCCAGAAAGTCAATGAAGAAAATGTTTAAATATCCCATGTGACTACCGTGGCTCAACTATAAGTTTATCAAGCGACGAGAATACTTTTTGTGCGAAAAAACAAACAAAAATAACGACTTTATTCGACTATTCCTTTTCTTCCTTGTTGGCCTGAAACGAGACTTCCTTAGATTTCCACGACGCATGCGCGAGAATTGCGATCTCCTTCAACTACTTAAGTTCAGTTCTCGCGCATGGGGGTGAGTAATTAATGACTTTTTTCATTTTTGGGTGAACTAACCCTTTAAAGAAACAAAGTTGATTGGGATGTTGTTTGCTATATTGTACCTACTGACATTTTGAGTTAGAACAGAGAATCTCACTGTGTCTCTTGGATTTTAGAAAAGATGATATTCTGCTAATGCATGTGTGGAAGATTTGAGAATCCTTGGGGCTGTGTTAGATGTATTGGGTACTGTCAGTGTGTGAAAATATGTTGACATGATGGTCCAGTGTCGCATCTAGCAGTCAGTTGATATAGTTATTAATGTGTATGTTTTGTGTACATTTATTTGATACCAATGACCTATCTATTACAAATAAAATGCTATACAAATACAGACATGCTATGCGCTAAATCTCATGTAGACATGCATGCAATCTATATTTGAAATGCTGTATTTATAAAAGCCCAGTGGCCATCAGTTAATTTTAAATGATATATATATACTGTATATATACATTACACTTAATCGATGTGGAAATAATCAATGTGATAATATATAATGGAAATCCACTATGCTTTCTGCAAGATTATACTGCATTTTAAGCTCCTTAAATAATAAAAAAAATATATAAATAAATAAATATAAATAAAAAATAATATATATATTGCAACCTCATTCTTGACATTTTGGGGAAAAAAGCCTGCGGCAGTCAATTCTGCTGGGTAACGGAATGGTTTGGTGAGTCGGAGCAGACGTCTTCCCTATCGTCTGCATGATCTTATTTATTTGAGTCTATGACTTGCATCTGTTCAGTGTACTGTTAATTCAGTTTATTGGTATGTTATTTCTTCTTGTCAAAAACAGTCTGCTATTTACGTTTTTTTTTTTTTTTTTTGCAATGACTTTGTTACTATTTTCAGAACCTTGATGTCATTTTTCACAACTGTAGACACCAAACTCGCAACCAATGATCAAAATGCATTTTTTTCAAAACTAACGCTTTTCTCAATTGCTTGGATACAATACACATAAAACTTAGATCATTTGTTCAGTCATCAAAATTCACCTGTTCAATATGACACAACTTAACATCAAAGTACTACTATTTCAAAATCCAATTCACACATTACATTTCAAATGAGTGTCTATTCATTTCCTTACGAAATAGCTAACTATCAATTGATACAACTGCTCAAAATGATAAGTAACTGTTGCAGTACTCTTAATGCATAGTTGTATGGAAACAGACACACAATCTTCCATGTTTAAAGTAAATCATGAAAGATTCAAAATAATTTGAGATTCATTGTCACCAATTAGTGTGGAGAATGAACCAATTAGACTACAATATCCATGGATGTAGCCTAATATATAATATGTTTGCTTTGCTGTGATTGTACTGTAGTGTTTTGCATCAATATAAACTTTGTTCAATGAATCCTCTATGTCTGTATTCTCTCTACTACTGCAGTACTTTTACAGAGATGTATTTACTGAACATGTAGTACCATAATGAATCTTGTATCACCTATTTTGTTCTACAATATTTAATGATTGTGCAAACAATGACACAGTGAAACTATCGGTTGCTTGTGTATGGGTGGTCTATAGTTATGTTTCAATGGTATTTCACAATAAATTTGTTTTTTGAACCAATGATTGTGCAAGTGCAAGATTTCTTTAAAGATGCGAATGCAAAATACAATGTTTTGAACATTAGACTTCCCGTGTTACAAGTGATAACCGTTTTGTGTCTAGAGTTTTGAAAAATGACATCAAGATTCTGAAAATAGTAGCAAAGTGATTGTAAAAAAACTGTAATAATGAAATATTAGAGTAAACAAATATCAGTATCGGCAACATGTGCCATAGTGGCATGTTTGGCCAAGCGTCTTGTTTTCTTTTAACAGATTTGATGTGTTGGGTATATATATATTTTTTTTCTTATGCCCAGGGCTTGACATTAACACCCGCCAACCCTCCAAATGCGGGTGGATTTCATGTGTGGCGGTCAACACGCATGTTGTTTATTTTGGGCGGTTTTTATTTACTTATTTATTTATTTATTGGTCTTTTTTGGGGTGTTTTTCTGATGTGGGTTGTTTGGACTGGATTTGATTGTTATCTGGTGATTAAGTTTGGAAATGCTTGTAATGGGAAACGCCTGTGAAGAAGTCCCCACCTGGTGATTATTTTACTCACACACTTTTAAAGATTTCTGGAGAAAGTATTGTATGATTCACTGATGAAGGAATTGCCGAAACATTTGAATAATCCAGATGTGCTTTGTTGCATAATACATTTTTTTTTTTAATTAATTTATAATTTATAAAGGAAGACTGCGGATTGCGGGTCTTTTGTTTTTCAGTTTGAAAGCATTGATGTTTGTAATCTGAGACCCAAACAAAGGTTGAGTGCAGTGATTCAATATCTTTTCATTTGGCCAAGCTTCTTAAAAATTCATTTAAAATTTCCCATCATAAGAAATTGAAATATTGTGTTTTTAAATATATTTGTGTATTTACGCTAGAATGTATAGACCTTCAATGCATTGCATGCAGTCATGAACTACACATTGTCTTCTGCCTAATCAGAGAATAATCCAATAAACATGATTTTATTGTAGAGTGAATGTAGAAAAACATGGTTATTTGTCTTTTATACATACAGTACATTTTTTTGACTGGTATACTAAAAGGAAAGCCAGAGCATAAAAATGTTTTATCAATTTAAAAAAAAAATAAAAAAAAATATATATATATATATTGCAATGTCCTTCTCACTTCTATCCAATATGTTACTTTCTTCACTTTTCGTGATATACAATAAACTTTATTATGCTGTCATGTTGTATTGTTATTAAACCCATCCAAAAAATGATGCCATAAGTACCCTCAAATTGATGTATCCTTTCACAACAATTCCTTCTGAATTTTTAATACCTGACATTTATCACTTTACTAGCACATTTTGCACATCAGCTTGTATGCAAACATATTTACATAAATACATAAAGTATTAAAGTATGTTGTTTTGTTTTGTTTTTTACTGTTAAAGAATCATTATTGGCAGAGAGTGGATTGTGTGTCCAGCTAAGTTGTATAACAAAAAGCTTAGAAAGAAATAGATGTAGATGCTCATCCCGAATGAGCAGAACTGTGCTCCGACAGCTTGCTTCTATTTCAAGCCAAGCACACATCTGGGAGCGCTACATCTTTCCTGTGGAGAGGTGCATGCATGTATTCAAAGTTGCTCCCAAACACCCACACCACCTTAATTATAATTTGCTGTTTAAAAATTGGATTTGCATTCACAAATATAATGCAATATTACAGCACAGGGATTTAGATGTGATTTTATAGAGTGTGTTACAATTGTACCTTGACCTACAGAAATACCAATACACTCTCTCTTTTATTTGCTCACTCTCACTTACCTTAGTAAGCATTTGATGAATTATGAAACAGCCGACACTTTGTTCATATATCTTGCATCTTTCATGGACTTACTCTCTTTCTTTCCCCCTTTACCCTTTGTCTTTTGTCTATCTATTCCTCTAATATTCTCACAGGTGGAGAAATTTAAGCAGGACCCGAGTCCGTCCACCTGCCTGCACTCAATATTTAACGTGCACACTGGAGATGAGGTTTACCAGTATGAAGAGTATAGCCATCTACAGGTTATTTCCATCATACATACACACACAGTATTCATATCATTTTCTTTAAAAAGTTATTTGCTTTTACCATGATATTGTCACTCCCAATTCGGCATCTAAAATATAATTAAAACACAATTATAAGTATCATATCTAATGATAATATTGAAAGTTTTGGAAAGAGCTCTTGTAACCTGGTCTTTCAATATTTCATGATATAAAGTAGATTGTGTTGTCTCATTCTTTATCACTGCGTGTTTACTGCATTTATGCTGCTGCATTATCTGCTGATTGCATCATTGGTCAACAGCCCATAAACTTAATCCAACCATTTTGATTAAACTAAATTCAGTTTTGTCGGGACAAGTAATAAAAGCTTGAGTTTTCAGAAAAAAAAGTGTTTCCTTTTTTGCTCACCATTACTATTTACATTCATATAAGAATAATACAATTGTTATAAAACTGCTGTAACCATAACTATTTTTGAATATTTCTTTCCTTTTTTATTTCAAACAGATTGATGCTGTGTCTCTGTTTCTATTGTACCTGGTCGAAATGATTTGTTCTGGCCTTCAAATAATCTACAATACAGATGAGGTATTACTTGACTGCATGAACTACACTTAAAAAAGAATCAGTACCAGTTCAATTTGTATCATTTAGGTTCTATATCCGTTGGCATTCTTATTATTCTTCCGTTTTTTTCTACTTGTTCGACTTCCACTTTGGAAGTCTTTGCAGCCCATAGAAATGTATGGAAAAAAGTTGTGAAATTTGGCACACAGATAGAGGAGAGTCTGAAATGTCTCTATTGCAAATTTGTCTCTATCCCAATCCCTCTACCGTCACTACTATACTGTCCAAATGTGAAACAGTATGTGTTTGAAACAGTATTAACTTTTCCTCTGATTCCTTGGCTGAAGACGATTCGATTGCATACCAACATTTTCTTTAATGAAAATTTTCCTCCATTTTGAATTTTCTGGGAAAAAAAAACTGCTTTTTCGAACTCCTCCTAGGACGTTGGTCAGTTTTTCACAAAAATGTAATCAGATCATATTCAGACCATGCTGACTGAAAGTTATCGAATTCAAGTCGATTTGTTGTGCCATTCTTGAATAATGTGAGAACGAATTCGACAAAGTACTGCCAAAATTAACCTGAGGCTATATCTCTGCATTGATTTAGTGTATTCTGAACAAACTTGGTATGTGTTATGTTAACCATGACCTGAGGTTACCTGCACAGTTTCGGCGCTGTGCCAGTTCAGGAGATGTTAAAGATGGCCATTTTTGCTTAAAACTTTTGAATGGTTTGGCCAAAAATCACAAAACTGGACTTGATAGATTTAGTGCAGCAGGCCAAATTGATCAGAACCCAGTTTTCCCATATCGTAATTTTGTTGTAAAATGCTATATTTTACGAGCTCATTGGTGTATCAATATGAAAGTCGGTATCTGTCTTTGTTACCATGCCCTGACAGTACAGCGACTTGACCACCTTGTGGTCAAAAATTATAATGAAATTTTCAAAAATGCTAATATCTTTTGATTAAATTGGCCGATTGTAATGACACTGGTCTTAATATATTCCCTTGCGTTATGCCGAGAACATAGAGACCAATTTTGTCATAGTCAGCCAAACTTTCTGTCTGCCATTCTAATTTTCTTTAAAAACATACTGTACTTCGTTTGTCCGATTTTCATCAAAATCGAATCGGATCATCTTCAGACTGTGCCAACAAAACGTAATGGATTTCCTGTCGATAGACTAACCATTTTTGTATACCGCATCATCAAATTTGATGACATGATGCAATACAATTCTGAGGCTGTATCTCTGCCGTGCTTTGGCATATTGACTCCAAACTTTGCATGTGCCATTATCACCTCATCACCACACCACATCAATTTGGTCACAGCACCACCTAATTTATTTTAATTTTTATTTTTTGAAAAGTGATAAACCATTAAATCACATTGCTGGTGATTGTTTTTCATTTTTCTGGCATTTTGCCTAAAGTCATCTTAATAAGTCTTTACTTGCTTAGTGTTGCAGTTGGTCTGATCCTCCCAGCCATGTTGGCATGACTTGTGTTCTTTGTGCTGTGCCCCGATAATTGCTGCTTGCAGCTATATTTAAAATTTAATTCAGTTACATTTGTTTGCATAGCACTCTTTACAATACATAATGTATTTTTACAAAACAGTTTTACAAATAAACATGCTTTAAAGGACTTTCACATTTACAAATGTTCAGAAAATTTTCAGAGAAAATCCAGTCATTTCAATAGGAATGTATGTGATCTGAAATTTTGTCTGAGGGCAAATTATTTCCCTGCAATGATTTCACAAAATGTTCAAGTCACACGGATTTGTTGAATTGACAATAGACAATACATTGCTACTCTATTGATAATATACAATAGAACTTTTTGCCCGTGAAATTTTGGATGGTAGTCACAATATTTTCTGTCTATCCATATAGTAAGTAGTGTAGATGAGATTTAAAGGATTTGGGAGGTTGTTGTTTTTTTATCCTCAATGGGACTGTTTCTTCCATGATGCTAGCTGATTAGGCAGTGAAATATTTAACACCCGAAATCCTGTGCCAGACCACTGGATCCTCTCTCTCCGTGCCTAAGGACTTGCTCTTAAGGCATTCTGGCCTGGACTACATTGAGCAATTTGGCTGTACGAAACATTCCCACAATAAGAAAGCTAAGTTGAGTTGAAATGGTTTAGGGCAAAGAGCAAAAATGCTAATTCCTGCATTTTACCAAGCTGAGAGATCACTTGCTCAAGTGACTGCTCAAGCACTCTGTTTGGAAAACACTGTAGCATAATATGAAACCATCTTTTAAAAGGCCTCTTCAAATCCTGCCAGCACTCACCCTTGACCCCTCCCCCCCTGGACTCGCACAGAGGAGACATTGAAGTGTGTTAAGGCCAATTTATACTTCTGCGTAGGGTGCGCGCAGTAGGTACAGGCCAATTTATACTTCTGCGTAGAGGGTACGCCGTAGTGTACGGCGTTGGCTACGCACGTAGGCGACGCCGTTGTGAGCATTTATACTTCTGCGTTCAGGTCTTGGTTGCTCTGCAGTACTGCTCCGAAACGCTAGTTGGCGGCGGAGAGTTTTAATGTTCCACTGTGTTTAGATTCCTCGCGGCTAGGTTACTACGAGTGAAAGAGAGCTGATCATGTTGGAATTGGAGCTTATTAAGGTGGAAAAACAGTTCACTTTAGTGAAATTACTAAAACTGAAAGGCAGAAATGACAGAAGACGTCGGAGGAGATGGTACGTGTGGAAATCATAGACAGTGGTGGAAATGCGTGAGAAGGTACGTGCGGAAATGCGTAGGAGGAAATGCGATGCTACCAAGCCGACCAATCACCGATCTTGCGGTCCGCGTCGTCGCGACGTGTAGTTACATTTTTGAGGAGGTGCGCGTCAGGCGACGGCGAAGGGTACGCGGTATGGGACGCGTCTGTGCGTATGCTACGCCGTAAGGCCAATTTATACTTCTGCGTAGGGTGCGCGCAGTAGGTACGGCGTAGCATACGCACAGACGCGTCCCATACCGCGTACCCTTCGCCGTCGCCTGACGCGCACCTCCTCAAAAATGTAACTACACGTCGCGACGACGCGGACCGCAAGATCGGTGATTGGTCGGCTTGGTAGCATCGCATTTCCTCCTACGCATTTCCGCACGTACCTTCTCACGCATTTCCACCACTGTCTATGATTTCCACACGTACCATCTCCTCCGACGTCTTCTGTCATTTCTGCCTTTCAGTTTTAGTAATTTCACTAAAGTGAACTGTTTTTCCACCTTAATAAGCTCCAATTCCAACATGATCAGCTCTCTTTCACTCGTAGTAACCTAGCCGCGAGGAATCTAAACACAGTGGAACATTAAAACTCTCCGCTGCCAACTAGCGTTTCGGAGCAGTACTGCAGAGCAACCAAGACCTGAACGCAGAAGTATAAATGCTCACAACGGCGTCGCCTACGTGCGTAGCCAACGCCGTACACTACGGCGTACCCTCTACGCAGAAGTATAAATTGGCCTTTAGTGGTTGCTGTAGTATAGTTGTGTAATCTCTCTCTTTTCTTTGGGCTGTGCGGACTTCATTAAGAGCATTTTTTTTATTCCTGCTGTCCGCGCACTGGGGCATTTACTTAACACTTTGCTGCTGATAAAACAATGTCTGTTGAATAAATGCAGTGTTTATTGCCAAATTGTCCTTATCTTCAGAAATATTGTTTCAGTTAAATGTCTTCAAGCAATTATAGTGTACGACTATTTTGTGTACATGACAGGCAGTATCACCTTTTTAGCTTAGCCTTCCACCCTATCCTTAACAAATTGTTTTAGTAGCTTTATTTAGCTATTTGCAAAAGAGGCCTAATTGACGTCTCTAAACAGTGCCTACTCGGGTATGTAATGCAATTTAAAAAACACAGTCTTGAAATCAGCAGCCCATTACATTCCATTAATAATGAACAGCAGAACAAATCGGGGAGAAATTGCCAGTGTAATATTTTTCCTATTTATCTTTGGCAGAGCCTTTTTCTTATATAATGTAAGCTTTGCCTCATCAGAGGGCCCTAGTTTTGGTTTGGCTTAGTAGTTAGATTTGAGTTGACTGGTTGTAAGGGAATTCATGATATTAATAGTATACACTTACTTTATTTAGACCTTATGCAGCCCCGCCCCTTTTCAGTGTTGCGCTCGTTGTCTTTTGACTTCCGGTCTGTATTTCCACAGCGATCTTGCATAGGTATGAATGAACTGCTCATAAAAAAATTCCCGGTCGACATTTGTTAAGACATCTGCTTTACAGTGCTTTTGATAAACATTACAATGCTCATGATAACTTTTGTTAATACTACAATAAGTAAATCCACTTCACCAGCTAATTACTCCTCAACAGCGATGCCATAGAAATACACAGAGCGACCGCAAAAACGGAAGTTCAAAGACAATATTCTATAGATGACGGCTCCCACATTTCTCTGGTGCATAAGGTTCATTGCATTTTTTTGTTTACCATGGTTACCAACTGTTACCATGGTAGATACAGATTCTAAATAGATGAACCCTAATTTGTGTGAAATCTTCTAGCAAAAAAAAAAAAGTAAAACCTATTGATTTAATAGAATACAAATATACAAGGATGGGCAATAGAATTGCAGAGTTAGGCTAAATTAAGTTCTCAGGACTTTCTACATGTTGTTTTGTAGATTCTTGATAAACTTTGTTTGAATGTTTGATTTTCACAAATACAAAAACAATTAAAATTTGTGAATTTTATTTTTTATGAATAAAATTTATTTACATGTCTTGCTGCTATTATGCTGGAATCTTAAGTCATTTGATGTTTAAACAGCTAATACTAGTTACTAAATGTCCATTTAGGATCTGTTTGTGTGTATGTCTTGACTTAATTTGAACCTTTTACAAAACTCAGAATGTATATTTGGCATATGAGTGAATATGAAATGTCATTGTTTAAATCTGTTATTAGAGCCAGACATTTTCCAAACTATCGGTATCGGCAGTTATATTGGCCGATAAATGAATATTTTAAAAGTAAAATAAAAATGGACGAAACATGCTTGAACCATGTCATGAGTATTGGAGTTGTATAGTTTGTCCACCAAAGGCACTCTACACCGTCACTGTTGGCAACACTCGTTGAGTTGGTCGCGAGACATACATTGCTTGAATAACAATTAAAAGAACATCCCCATCAGTTCTCTTAACTCAAATAAGCATGACAAAATTTGTGACTCTCATGTCCAGATTTGCTGCTTTTAAATAAGCAGAGAGTGAAGCGGAATTAGCTAGTAATAGTTACGTTACGTTGTTACAGTGTAGTTGACTGACTGTCCTTTTAACTTTTGACAATATGACTGAAGTATTTCTTTAATAGCGTGTCACAGTTCACGTGACGTATCATCTGTCCTTGGCCTGTTATATTGAAAATATATATTTTACAATTTGCAGTATCCATTGCTAAATTATGGCTCATCATAGACTAGCTAACCACAAAGCTAGCTAATGCTACTATCATCAGTCTGTTCTGTTGTGACGATAAAAGAACAAGTTTCTTTTTAAAATGCGTTAATATATTATTTTAGTTAAAACTCATAAATAACTTCAAATAACTAATGTTAGGGAAATCTGTTAATGTTTTGTTACGCATTTCAGGAAAAAAATTAAAATAAATATTGCCCGATATATCGGAATATCGGATTTTAAAACCAACAAATATTTGTATCGGTATCGGCCTTCAAAATCCTTTATCGATCGGGCTCTATCTGTTATTTGAAAGATTGTCAATGACATGCAGACTAAGGGCTGCTTCAACATTTACTGTAATTAACTCAAATGCCTTATCCAACAAACTCAAACGACTATGACTAATCCACCTTGATTCTCAGAAAAGTTACACTCTTGCTCTGCTCTCGCTCTTTGCGGCTGAGAGAAGCAAGAAGAGACAAAATAGTGCCTCCCCAGGCCAGCGGTATTCATTAAGATGCCATAAAACTCGTCATATTAATCATTTTAGTCCAGGCCCAAAATAAAAGTGCTCAAGTCATCCCTCTCTCCTCATTTTTTCCTCTGCATTTTGCCTTTCGCCTACCTTCCTCAGTGCCCCATTTTAACGTGCTTTAGGGACCCTCAGTTCTCTTCATGTTAAATTAAAAGCGCTGTCAGCCCAGCCTCCCTGGGTGTTTGAGCATTTCCTCATTTATGTACCGTAAAGACATCATTCTTTCTCTCATTTTGTTTTTTCCGATGGCCTCATTCCATAATGGGGATAGGAAGTGTTGAGGGGCTTATGACATTACCAATGCCACCCGTGGAAGTGATGGATTACTTTAGCTGCTCTATTCAGTGGATCATTATTCAAATTAAATCTGTGTATAATCAGAATATTAGATGGGTAACATGAAGGTATGCTGATGTATTGACAGAAAAAAAAAAACATGGCCTAGAAAAGCTCTGAGAGCAGGCTTACAGTACTTCTCAAAGTAAATCTACTTTGGTTCTGATGGCTGGAATGGCAAGCAAAGGCTATGGAGATCTAGGTGTGACACATTTCTCTGACATGTTTGCATTTGTAGGTATCGTTCATCCAGAATCTGGTGTTTTGTGTGGAGAGGGCGTATCGTGTGCCAGACTTTGGCATGTGGGAACGAGGAAACAAATATAACAATGGAAGCACAGAGCTGCACTCCAGGTCAGTTGTTTCACTCCCTTCTTATTTCCTTTTAATAACTTTGTAATTAAATGAAACTGCTATAAGATAAATTGCAGGTAAGGGTTCACTATATATTGGTACAACCGATGTCATTACTCTTGTAATTTATCACTATTGGTCAATATTGGATATTTAGCTACACTACTTATCAGGGTCCGTAAGATTATTTATAAGTCTCTTATGCTCAACAAGGCTGCATGTATTTGATAAAAAAAATACAGCAAAACACTAATATAGTGAAATAGTCTTAACATTTAAAGTAACTGTTTTATTTTAAAATGTAATTCCTGTGACTGCAAAACTGAATTTTCAGCAATCATTACTCCAGTCTTCAATGTCACACGATCCTTCTGAAATCATTCGGATTTGGTGCTTTCATTATCAATGTTGAAAACAGTCAAAGAAATCTTTTAGAACAATATTTAAAAGTATTTACTGTCACTTAACTGTCAAACTGTGACTACGTTTACATGCAGCCAGTAACCCATTCAAAACTGGGATATTAGCAATAACCCGGGCGCGAATGGCCATGTAAACACCGGCAAAAACGAATATGCTTATATCCCGGATTTAAAAAAAAGGTATGTTATACCTGGGGTACCCCTTTTCTAACCCGAATTTTTGGTCATGTAAACGCGTATCGGCATATCCCCATAGTGATTTGTGTTCTGCGCATGTTCTATTCGCAAGGAATCTTGGTCTTTTGAGTAGAGAAACTTCTCGGTGCATACAAAAATCCGCAAGCAGTATACCGGAAGTAAAAATTTTCTTCATTTACTTTCTGGTCCATCAAGTTTCGATCCCTTAGGCAGCCTATGTAGCAGTGATCCAGCTCTCAAATTTAATCAAAAATATCTTCATTTGTGTTTCGAAGATGAACAAAGGTCTTACGGGGTTGGTACAGCATGGGGGTTAGTAAATTATGACTTAATTTTCATTTTTGGGTGAACTAACCCTTTAACTATACATACTGCTCATTATAATTTTTTAAAACCTGTATCGATTCACTGAGTACTAAGGCAGCATTCCTCATGCTCAGTATGGAATAAAACAAACGTTTGTTTACTGCTCTCATTAATGAATCCCAGCACCTGGAACGATGTGAACGTTTCAGTTCATGTTGGGGAGGTATTAGATTTGAGCATGTCTATGATGACCCTCCAGTAAAGGTGGCACTTCATTTAGCCTCCTCTGGGTGAGTCCATGAGTGACTGAACTCTAACTGAGAGGACTCACATAGAGAACCTCCTATCTCCCCATTGCATACGTGATTCTTAGTGCTCTGCAGGCAGTATAGACTCAATTTGCCCAGACAATATGCTTTATAGAAGAGCAAGTCAATCGGCAGTGACTCCCAACACATCACTATGCCTCTCTTTCGTAACCAGGCTCAATAATGATTCTTTCCATCACTGGTTCCTTATCTTGCTGTCACAGCATTTCCACCGAGGGCCAATTAGAGTATTGACTTTTGCTCTTTGCACTGTTAACTGAATGAAAAATCGTGAAATATTTTATAACGATCAATTTATGATTCACCAGTCTTCAAATTATATATTTTAAAGAGCTGTTTATCAAGTAGGTAAAAGCATGTGTAACTTGTTTGTATTAATTTTGTGTTTTTGATCAAATAAATACTGCTTTGTTGAGCATCACGTCTACACAGACTCTCCCACGCACTCTGAATATTATAAATGTGAACTTTAATTATTGCAAGCTGAAACAAATATTTCTTGCTAGAAATTTGTTTTAAATGTGTGTGTATATATATATATATATATATATATATATATATATATATATATATGAAGAGTTCAGATGCAAAAGCCTCTAAATGCCATTTGAAATTTTCTTCTTTAATGATGATTTTTGTCAAACTTGTATATTTAAGTTCAATGATTTCACTTAAATGGCAATGATAATTACCTATTAATTGTTATTTAAGTGAAATTACTGAACTTAAATATACAAGTTTGATAAAAATCATCATTAAAGAAGAAAATTTCAAATGGCATTTAGAGGCTTTTGCATCTGAACTCTTCATATATTTAAAAATAATATATATATATATATATATATATATATATATATATATATATATATCAATCGGGCCTGACTCGGTATAAAACTGATTTTTTAGCAGGTTTCTGCATTGCAGAACATAAATACTTCATACACAACAGAACTTCTAGACAAGACAGCAGCAAACACACAAACCAAGAGAATAAGCATCAGAATCAGGGAGGCCATGAAGCCATCTCAGTAGTCACAGATATACCTATCCATTAGATGGTTGAGTTGTTATGTTATTTTAAATGGTCTTGTTTTTTTATAGTTCTGATGTGTTGAGTCTCATTCCAGGCTTTAGTGAGCACATTAAAAAAATCTCTGTCCATAGCAGTTCCTAAAAGACGGTATAGGCAGCCATATAACAGCCTGGAAGCCTGTTGTGGATCTTATACTGTAGGCTCTATTATTGAGTCTTGCTATGGGTTCAATGATCTCATTTGTTGTGAGGGACATGATGGAATAAAGATATGTTTTAGAAACAGAAAGCAAGAAATATGTTCTAATTTTACAGTAAACAAAATTAATGAGTTTGTTCTTCTTACAAAATAATTTGTTGTGGATGGAGCTCAGAATGAGATGTATGATAAGTGTTTTATATCAATGTACTCTTGACCAACACAAAAGGAAAGGAAATGGATGTTGCTTTACTGTTTTCAGTGGTAATGTCGTTAGATTCTATTGAAACTGTGCCAGATTTTGAGGAAAGTCACAGAACTCCAGAGGGCTGTAATTCATGACCATTCAAGAGGCTCGATTAAAAGTTTATTTTGAAATTATCTCAGAAACTTTCAATTTGATTAGAAATCAAAAGGGTATTTCTTATTGGAAATAAAGGGCATTTCACCCAGTCACAAAGAAGTTCCAGTTATGTTTCCACTTAAGCCTGGTACGGCATGGAACGATTACAAACCTTTCTATGCCCGGTATTCTCAGCACGGTATTCTAACCTTGCCGAACCGTGTTGGTAGAATGCATGTAGTGAGGTCGACACTCAGGATTGGTCACTTGTCAGTTGCCTGGCTACCAGTTTCTCTTTGCTATTTGAGTAGCATAAACACAAAATAATGCTAAAATTAAAATAAATATCTGATCATTCAACGTAATGCAGTCACCGTTTACATCTGGTATCATCAGTAAACCATTGCTATTACTTTCCAAAGAGCGGCTGTTATCATCCCCACAGTGGAAACCATACTGGCTGTTCCTTATCGGCACAGAATGGAACGGTTAAGTAAAGAGAACAGTTTGGCTCGACGGTGGAAAAGCAGCTATTGTCTGATTTTACCAATATATCTGGGACTGAGCCCATTTGCTTTCTATCCAAGCAGAAAATCAATAATGCCTCAACCTTGATTGTAATCATAGCTGATGGTTTGGTTGGGGTGGGACACACGGACCAGAGCTGGATTCTACCATGTTCTTTTCAATTTAGAATTACCCCCGATGCCTTTCAGTTTGCTCGTTTTCTGCATTTTCACTATTGATTTTTCCTCACAGAGAGCAATTGGGCGTTTTTTTTTTTTATTTATTTATTTATTGCTCAGCACCCCTAGCTCTAATCGTGTACTCTAATCGTATTCTTCACAAGAGTGAGTGGCTGAAGAAGCAAAAATGACAGAAATTATTAGCTTTGTTTAACCTCAAAGGAGACTTTCATGGATGAAAACAGCTTTGGAAATAGGCACCTGGAACAGAACAGTATTTAATGAGAGCTTAGTTCTCTGTTTGGGAAAAGTTCTCAAATAGCAAGTGCAATATTAATTTGTCTTAAAATGGAGGTGCTCAATGTTACTGTGAATCTGATCTATTCTCTTCTAGCTCATTGGGACTAGCCAAAGCAGCTCTGGAAGCCATCAATGGATTCAACCTGTTTGGAAATCAGGTATTGCTGATGTCTTAATGGGATTGTTCACACAAAAATCTATATTCTGTCATCATTTTCTCCCCTAATGTCATTATAAACCTGTATAATTGTCTTTCTTCTGTGAAACTCAACAGGAGATATTTTGCAGATTGTCTAAACTGATCTTTTTCAACAGAATGGTTTGGTGACCAGTGGCTGTCAAACTACAGAAGCTATAATAAATCGAAGTCTAAAGAATTACATAATTGTTTGATCAACTGCCTCTTTAATCAAGGAATAATGAAGGCTTTTTGAGGAACTGTTTAATGTCCATGAAAGCATGTTAGTGGCTAAACACAACTGAAGGACGCAATGTACTAACAGCTCTCTTCATCTTTATAATAATAAATGTCTGCTCCTGCATAGGGATGCAATTCCTTGCATAAATGTGTCCAAGGCAAAGGGAGAATCGAAACAAAGTGATCAAGATTATTGGGTCAGATTGTATTTGAGCTATCTGTTTTGTCAGATTTCCAACTTTAATGGATGGCGAATACTTCTTCCTTGTATCTGATTTTGGTTCTCTTTTATTTTTGGAGTGGTCATTAGTGGGATTAATTTGTTTTGGTGTTGAGGGAAAATCAAGATGGCAGTGGGCCACATCCATTATATTTGGTAATGGACCGGAAAAGCGATAGCATCCTCAAAGTGCATCCATTTTGGTCCCCCTCCCCCAACCTTCTTCCATTACCCCCATCACAGATGAAGGCCCTTCGGATTTGTTTATTAAGTCATTGGTAACCTTGGTTGTTTCTTAGTTTTTTAACAGAAGGGCAGACCAGATTTAGAAATATGGTTTAGTTGTTTGGACACTTTAGTTTTGTTGTGTTTGACCTTTTCCCAAGTTTGCCTTTTTCTGCCTAATGTGGCTCTCTGTGTTCTGTCGTTAGCAGGAAACATGTTGTGGTATGAAATGACTTCATGGAAGTGACTGCTGTAGACAGTGTTGTTTTGAATTAATGGAGGTCTCAAATGGCTGGCTTTGCCATGTGTCTCTCAGTTGGATGGAAGGCGTGCTGTGTCATCACATGGGTTATGTTATTAATGATGGCTCTCACGCTCCATTTCCTCAACTAACTCTCAGCGTGGACTGCAGAGTTGGCGCTTTCATGTGTTTCGTTGGAACAGGAGCTGTCAGAGCAGGATAAAAGCAGGTAGATCTTAAACACCATATGTTAAGCTACATATTGCTCAAGTTTCTGATTTTAATTAAAGCACCATGATTTTGAAACCATTTGGGTTAGTTTTAAGGATGGGCTGGATGGTCAACTACCAACTTCGTATAGGTCAAGGTCAAGATAAACTTTATTATCCCACAAGGGGAAATTCATGTGGTCATTCATTACGCGCTGTTGTCACAACATATTTTCTAAAAATATTAAAAGAAATACAAAACAAGAAATGACAATACTGCGGATTTAACAATCACAATCCAACATTTAACGCTAAAAAAGTATTATATTTTCAAAAGACTAAAACTATAACAACTTACGATGTACTTGGTCATTATACAATCTGATCGCTGTAGGTACAAATGATTTATTATACCTCTCTGTTCTAATTCTCTGTTGTATAATTCTACCAGTTGACCTATTACTTCTCATAAATTTATGATGAAGAGGGTGAGCAGGATCCTTGAGGATCTGATCAGTTTTTTTTAAGATAAGTTCATTATACAGTTGAGCTACCAGCACCTGGTCATTTCCAATGATCCTGCTGGCCATCTTAACCATGTGCTGCAGTTTCCCTTGGTCTTTAACATGCATGTTACCAAACACACAGATAAGGCCAAAGGACAGAACACTCTGGAGGAAACTTTTAAAAAACATAACAAGAATGTGTCTTTCTAGTCTAAAATTATATAATTTTCTTAGGAACATAGAGAGGTGAATATATATCTACAAAAATAAATATCTAACGTGCTGACGGCATTCTGTCTTTAGAATGATAAATGTCGCATGGCAAATTTCAGCATGCTATACAAACTACACCAATAAGTTGTTTTTTTTTTTTTTTTTTTTTTAATTCAACCCCCCAAAAAAAAGAGTCAGTCATCAGTAAGTTTTTATAACACAGTCTCATCCCAAGACCTCATATAACTGACGTCTTGGGACGTCTTTTGACCATAAGTCAACACATCCGCCGTTTTAGGGTACCCTTTAACGTCAGTTACATGACGATCCTGGGACGTCATACAACTGACGCTTTACCTTTAACGTCAGTTAGGTGACGGGGTAGGTTTAGGGGTTAGGATCCGATAACGTCATCTAACCGACGTTAAAAGGTACCCTAAAATGGCGGATGTTGACGTATGGTCAAAAGACGTCCCAAGACGTCAGTTATATGACGTCTTGGGATGAGACTGCGCTGGTTTTTACAAACCTTTGTAGACTTTAGTTCATTTTTGGGACATAAATGAGCATTTTAATTATTGTCCCCAAAAAAAGTTGAGCAATTAAATGCTACAGATATGTATCTATATATATACATACATCCACACTTAGATTTACATTGGTGCTAAATGTTCAAGGTTAGCTAATGTCAGCTCTTATTTTACTCCGTAGATGATGGCATGTTCTGCTGGAGTCTACATATCATATCACTCCCATTGTCACACTCTTCACAGTCATTTACATTACAATTCCTCTCAGCATATAAATTGTTGGTTCAGAAGCTCGTAAGAGCATATTGTTTCTTTGTTAGCTTCTCTAGATGAGCTAAATATGCCACAAAATGGTGATTGTTGGATAATCGGTCTAGGCATGCAGAAGAAGCGAAATTGCTCTCAGTTTAGTTGTGTGAGAGGAATACAGAGAAAACGGAGAATAAATAATTGGTTCTGATTGGATGGCCCTAGATGACTAATAAGCTGCTATAAGACCTAGGAGACTGTTACTGTATATAATATGTATATATAACTCTTAGACTCTCAGCATGGACTGCAGAGCTGGCTCTTTGTGTGTGTGTGTGTGTGTGTGTGTGTGTGTGTGTGTGTGTGTGTGTGTGTGTGTGTGTGTGTGTGTATTTTTGTATTTTTAAAAGTGTGTGGCACTCACTGTCTAGGCTGGTGTAGACTATGCCTTCGAGCAGAGTTTATATTGTGAATCTCATTTGGGGATAGTGAGGTTGGTGGTTTCAAGGTTTTTCAGGCACTGATGTGGGACTGTTGCTGTGACACACCTCAAGCCAAAGTAATCTCTGAAATCTGATGGTAAATTTGCTAAATGCTGTACATGAGCAGAATGATTATGTGGTTTTATGGAGAGGAGGATTGGTTTGAATTTAGGAGACCCCTTGCAGGACTGACAACAACCTAACATTTCCAATATGGCACTTTTTTAAGCAAATTTTGATTTGTGTCTGTAGTGTTTGTAGTCCTTATTGTCATCTGTAACGACACTGCTGAATTCCACCCATTAAGCAAAGGTCATTATAATGTTTGATTTGTGATGTTTGTTTTCCTTCTGCCCTGCAGGGATGCTCCTGGTCAGTAATTTTTGTGGATCTGGATGCTCATAACAGGAACAGACAGACTCTGTGCTCTCTCTTGCCAAGGGAGTCTCGTTCCCATGTGAGTTGTCTTGCCTACTCTGCATTTACAAATTACTGATACATTATTGAAGGGGTCGTATCATACTTTTTTTTAAAGGATTTTTTTTCTTTCGTTAGTCTAGGTTTCTTGCATGAAAAACATTTGTAATTTAGTTTTTCATAACCATTCTACACTTTAGAATTGAACTACTTTTGGGGGTGCTTGATAGCTACTATAGAAAATCACTGAACGTCTTAAAGTCGGCATGAAATCAAATTTGACAAATATTCTTTTTATATGTAATGTGTTTATTATAAATTATTTATCTGTGAACATTTTTTTTTTTTTAAATTCATGTACCCTTATAATCTTTAATCAAAGACATTACCCTTCCCTCCCCCATCGAAACGACCTCTCTTCTATTCCGGTCACGTGCAATGGCAAAAGGGTGTGGCCAGATCCGATGACGGTGCGGCTATCGGTGCACCGCCTTTCAGAGAATCGCATTCAATTCTGCCTCCATTTTGTTTGCAATGCCCAACCTCCAACAATCCAATCAATTCCTGAAGGACGAAATCAAGCCCTGTCCTAATTTTTCACTCGGATATACATCACAAGAAGGAAAAAATGACAATCTCAACTTCCGTTTCACACTGACTTTAAAACTGAAAATGTTTTTTGATTTCTTTTAAAATTACATTTGACATATCACGCTATACTGACAAAGCAGTTGTTATTGGTAAACCGTAGGCAGAGATTGTCAGAAACAGTACGCCCATAACCAGGATTATAGCTTGTCAAGTGTTGAAAATTGTATACAGCGTATGAACAAACGTGTCAGAAAAAGTCAAGAGCAAGCTTTCCCGGCGAAACTCACATTACAGCGGCTTTTGAGGGGCAGTGCTTATTATATAGAGCGAAAATACGGAAAATTTAGATTGTGAAACGTTGTTAGCCTTGCCTTTTTAGCGGCAATGGGGTTTAAATAACTTTTGACCTAGTCGTTTAGGAGGTAATTGCTTTAGAAGCTGCGTTGAGTGTACACAACACAGGAAACATAACAGCAAACATTATTAATAATACTTACAGATTGTGATTCGGAGGACGAACCTGATCCATATACACTGGATACTGAGCCCTCCTTCGGGAACAACCGGCTTGCGAATCCACATTTGAATTCATTTAGTTTTTTGAATGAAACATCATTAAAATGATGAGAACACAAGGTTCGGGCTATACTGTTGTGGTATCGTTGCAAATATGAACTCTTATCCACTGATTCTTCACATGCTTGTCCCTGGGCAATGAAAACAAGTGGCTGAACTGTCTTTGCAATGTAAAACACACCGTCTTCTCGACATGATGCTATTCAGCTGAAGTATTTGAATACACTTACGTCTGCGCGCGCAGTAACTGGGCGCGGTCAATATGCCAACGTTTTGTATCTACGTCACTACGAAACAGCTAATGACTCGTTTCAAATACAGTTCATTTCATAGACTCACTTTTGAAAGACGATAACTTTATATATGGTGCACTTTCAGATATAAATCTTTGCAGGATGTTTTCATTCCCTTAGAGCTATATTCCACACCATATGAACAGTCATTTTCAAAAATCCATGATAGGGGCTCTTTAATGCATTTGCTTTTCTGACTTTTGAAATCCAAGTATATTTAAAACTTAGTTTTGATAAATGTATATTTTATACTGAAACTAGTACGTGTATTCTTTTAATTCAAATTGTCAAGAAAAATGTAATGTAATATGACCCCTGTAATAGCATCTTTAGAGAAAGCTGCATCCATCAACCCTCCTACGCTATATCCATTAGCATTGCATAGTTTACATTCTTCTCTGTGCTAAATTAAATGGAGAACAAAGTGATATATGTCAAAGAACAGGTAAATTAGCATAATTAAGCCAAATTAATGCAGTGCATTTTGCAGAAATTTTCTTCGCTTGTAAGTTGAGTGAGATTGTTCTATTCTGTGGCTTGAAGTGTTTAGGATAATGTATAGCATGTATTAAAGCTTCTTCGTGAATCTGACTAATGTGTTATTAAAACTGCAGAGGCTAATGTAGAAAAATAGCCCATCCTCAGAAAGAGAGTGGTCACTTAACCCTGGGTTGCCTTGATATTTCCTGATGGAAGGCAAATTCAATAGAGGAGCAATGAGTCGCTCAATGTCTGTTTCTAATGCAAGTGCTCTTGTCATCTAGAACACTGATTCAGCCCTCCTGCCCTGCATCAGCTACCCAGCGTTCGCCGTGGACGACGATGCTCTATATTCCCAGACTCTGGACAAGATAGTCCGCAAACTGAAGGGCAAGTATGGCTTCAAACGCTTCTTACGGGACGGCTACAGAACGACCAATGAAGACAAGAACCGCAGGCACTACAAACCTGCTGAGATGAAGGTGAGTGTTGTTAGTATGTCAGCTGAAATGAAAAAGTAATGGATGGAAAGGAAAGGGAAAATGAAAAGAGTCTTTTTTTCCCCATATTTGGGATGAGTTATGACTAGCCTCAGGTTTAGCCCTTTTTTTGAGAAACAGAGATTTTGCTATAAAGGTTAGTGACTGAGATCTAATAAATGGCACTCAGGCATTTTTATATGCATCTTTTAATCTGGTGCAGATTTATTTATTTATTCATCTCTCAGGAGAATACGAGGGCTATGGGTAAATCCCATTTGATTGGATTGAACTGTGAGGCTATTAAGTCCAGAATTAGCTGGAAACACACTGCGCCTGAATCTGAAATCTGAAAGGGGGAGATTTAACCCGCAGCTATCATCACATCAGCTGCCAGAGCTGACCTCCCACAAGTAGAAGGAAATGAGAAGTAAAAGAAGAAAAGGACTCTTAGTCTGGCCAAATGCTCCATCAATACAGTACATTAACCTGATTACTTGATTCAGCCAAACAAGAAAGTGCCATGGTATTTTTATGTGTAGGCTGTGAAACTATGGTTGCACCAAGCTATTCCTTTATGTACACTATCATTCAAATGTTTGGGGTCAGTAAGTTATTTATTTGTTTGTTTGTTTGTTTTACATTAAATTAATACTTTCATTATTATTTCAAATAAATCATTTCATTTGACCTTTTTTTGTGAAGGTTTTCACAAAAATATTAAGCAGGACAACCATTTTCAACATTAATAAATTACAGGAATGAATTACATTTAAATAAAAATGAACAATGCCATTTCCAGAAAAGTTGGGACATTTTGTAAAATGCAATAAAATCAAGAATCTGGTTGTTAAATCTCTTAAAGTTTTATTTGACTGGTACAATGATAAATGTTTTCACTGGCCAAATTAATTGTATTTTATAAATTTAAACACATTTTGATTTTGATGGCTGCAACACACTCCAAAAAAATGGCGTGGGTGACTTGCATATCTGAAGGCATCAATGACATGGAGGTGTATATTGGGGTTGTAAACAGATATATATATATATGTGACCCTGGACCACAAATCCTGGACCAGTCACAAGTGTACATTTTTTTTTGAAATTGAGATGTATGCATCATCTGAAAGCAGAATAGATAAGCTCTTTTAGGATAGGACAATATTTAGCCGAGAAAAAACTATTTGAAAATCTGGAATCTGAGGGTGCAAAAAAAATAAAAACATTGAGAAAATCGCAAGTTGTCCATTTATGTTCGAGATTTTGCTGTATCCACTCACAAAAATATGTTTTGAAATTTTCAAAATATCTTCATGGAACATGATCTTTACTTAATATCCTAATGATTTTTGCCAGAAATATATCCTTTTGTTTCTAGACACTCTACACCATAGAGGGGATGTGCTTGACTAACTAACCTGTTGTCCAGATCTCTCTCTTATTGAAAATATATGACACATCATGAGGAGGAGAATCAGGCAACGATGACCACAGACTGTTGAGTTGCTTCCACTTGTTGCAGCCATCAATTACAATTAAGTTGGTCTGTGACAACATTGAAAATCTTTCCTTTGTACTTTTGTCATAGAAAAAGAAGAATTAACAAAATGCAGATCTTTGATTTTATTGCATTTTACTAAATGTCCCAACTTTTTCCGTAAATGGGATTGTAAAAAACTGCTGTTTTATACTGTAATATTTCACAATATTAGAGTTTTTACTGGTAAATTAATAAAACATTAAAGCTTGGTGAGCATAAGAGACTTCTTTAAAAAATAAAAATATCTACAAAATATTACCGGCCCTAAACTTTTGAACAGTGGCGTACTTTTGAGTGGAACCGTCGAAGAAATAGATGCGATAGTAGGTAACCATTCCGTACCATGGTATTACGATCTACCCACTTTTATCACACACACACAAAAACTGCTTAAACAAGATGGTTTGTTGGAAGGCCAGAGGTCTCGAAACCTCTCAAAAACCAGTCAATAGACAGGCCTGATATACGCCTATTTTTTAAAAACAGTACTGGTATCCCATGTTCCCTGAACAGTATTTTTGTTTGTGTAATAGTCCTTTTCTTATAAAATAATGTAATCCGATTGTATGTTCTCATTATGTTTTAAGATGCATTAATTCATTGTGCCATGAATTATGTTCTTGATATCTTTGTTATCAGCCTGTCATGTTCAGACAAATACAAACTCTTCTGCCTGGTTGGAGTTTACATTCTGTTGAACCCATAACTAAGTTATGATGACAGAGGATTTCAAGCCTGAATGTCTCATAGTGACTGAATTTCCTCTGGTGAATGATATAGCCTCACTAAGTAATTGTAGTAAGTGAAGCCAAAGACCCCAGAGACTCCTTCTGTTTACTGTGAGTAGGCCTTAGTGTCTTCTCTTTCCCACCCAGGAGACATTTATTTAATATGTCTGCCCCATCCCTACTCTCTCTCTCTCTCTCCCTCTCACTCACTCACTCTCTCTCAAATCCTCTAGTGCTAAGAAACCATGTATAGTCTTGAAAAATTGTCCTTTAAATCAAATGATTTTAAACTAGTTAGTTAGAAAGCAGATTAATTTAGATATTTTCTTTCAGTTTTAGAAAATGCCTATACAAGTAACCCTCTGTTTGTCCTGAAACAGCTTTTATGTGATTATGCCAATGATGCGAGACCAGTCCAATTAACAGCCTTTATTTCATTACATCCTAATCTCTCACTCTTATCTCCTAATACCACAGCAATTGTCTTGCGAGATTGCTAGCAGAGATAGGGAAGTCTTAATTACATTTGGGAAAGGTTGAGAGACATTTTGTTCCCTTTCAGTCATCAAAGTGTGCTTTAGATTTTGCACCTCTTAAGCAGCTCACAAGATTTCTTTTTCTAAAGAGAGATCATTCGAATTGAGGTTGTCATATAATTGGCAGGGATGAAAAGAGGATCACAGAATTGTATTACGAACGTTTCATGCCATGAATAGCGAGAATATTGTGAATGCATGAGCTTAAAGTTTTAATTGCAGCCTGAAAAAGTGGGTTGCTAAACGTGGTATGATTGATCGAAATAAAGCATCATCAGAATGCTCCTTGAGCACAAATATGCCCACACAAAATTGTTTGTTAATCCCTATTTATTTGGTTTGTATTGATACAAATGTTTTTGATGGATTACTCCCTTAGTAAAGTCAATCTGCCCACATATGTGCACATGAAGCCTGCATTTTTAATTCCTGTTTGAAAGGCTTTCATTTTAACACAGCATCTGTAGGCACTTAAATGTTGACTTATACTTCTAAATGAATTGATAAAACAAGCTGCAGTCACATAATTTGAATTAATTATTGCATTTTCACACTCACAAACCATCTCTACATCTGAGTTGATTTTAATTTCAAACCCAAGTGATTCATGGCTCTGCTCTTGGGAAACAGAGACGGAGCACTATGGCTTTTTAATGGAGTTTCTGCTTGACTGCTGTACTTTACTTCAACATAATTGTTTTCTGTTTTCCTGAACTATCGTAACTGGAAAACAGAGGTTGTCTGGCATTTCCTCTCAATGTTTTGAAAGGCTTCTATATTATATATCTGCATTTTGCTGCAGGTAACATATTGCAGTCAAAGGCAGTCAAATTACAGGTTGTGTGGCACTCCAAATGTACTATTCGTGTGTGACTTATTTTTTTATTTTTGTTTGCTCGTTTTTTTTTTTACAATCTTATTGCATATTGCACACAGGCAGATTGAGTAATTCATGTACATATACCATGTACCAATAACAGGTTTGAACAGTAATCATGTTCTTGAATAATTACATGATTTGTTTAAGTAATGACTCATGCATCTGGTGTCTTATTCTCTGCCCTGTGCTGTTTTTCAGCTCTTTGATGGGATAGAGTGCGAGTTTCCCATTTTTTTCATCTATATGATGATTGACGGTAAGATTCATGGATAATAAATTGTAGGCTCAGTAGGCTGTATAATAATATATTGTTTTGTATTGTATTGTATTGTGCATATGAATGTTATTGTTATTGTTCAGAGGAAAATCCCTTGAGATATGACATCTCCTTTTCGAGGGGACCTCAATATAATAGCATGGTTTTCATGGTTTCACTGAAAAGAAATCCTGAAAAAAAACTTGCTTTTGTACTAATCATCATAATAAAAACAGATGATACCACAGAAAGCCACATGATAAATCCCAAGTTGCCTGTCCATAAAACATGGCCATTACACGTGTATAAACGACCTATGTGGTAATTCGCATAGACAAAACATCATCAGGTTAGCACAAATGACACAAATGAAAAAAAAATTTAAAGAGACTGTAACACAAAACTCCCTAATGTACATTACTGACAACAGAAAGAAGAAACAAAAAAATGATAATGTCCTTTTGCTGTTTTTCACCATAAATATGGTAGTATGATAGTTTTTTCTTTGCAAAACCCATAAACTGGACAGTATTTTACATTGCAACTATGTGTAATGCAATGTTAAACTATTACTTACAGTTAATCAATTAATGTCGTTTTTTTCTGTAAATTTTGCAAACGTTTTTAGACTGTTGCATGTAAATGCTAAGCTTGCTGAAATCAGGGCCACCTGTATAATTGCCCCTGGAGGACGAGGATGGAGTGTTTTGTAAATTCTCTTTTTTTGACCTTTTGTTTAGGTGTGTTTAGAGGAAATCCTGCTCAAGTCAAAGAGTACGAGGAACTGCTACAGGCTGTCATCTTCCAGTCTTTTGAGGGTAACTTCTGGACACACACACACACACATGCATACCCATGCGCATCTTTTAGGACAAACTGCCAAAGCATGTCACATTGTGATGGACTCTGCTTGCGTGCCACTGTCCTCCAGCCGCTGCCAATGAGTGTTATTTTCCCATTACTCTTTATTAGAGTGGTCCTTTCGTATTCATCTCTCCCTCGCTGCGTGATTTCCTTAGACGCGTTTCAGTCAAGTGCACAACAGAGAAGATGCTCATTATTTAAACAGACCAGAACACCGTCGATTCCCCACTGGCAGACAAAAAACAACAACTCTCATGTTGTCTGACAGTTCTTCAGAATAGCACTCTTCAGAAGTGTAACCACAATAAGCAACTTACCTATTTCAGCTCTTTACATTTGCTTACAATGGGCCTCATCAGTATAGATGAGAGCTTGGCTTAGTCGACTGAATTATACTTGACAGAGAAAAGGTGAATTTACAGCTAGGCTGGATTGTGCTGACAGCTTTTTTTCTGCATGGATTTATCTTGTCATCTTTTTTATATATGTATCAAGTAAATAGTCATTAGCGATATCTAAATAACAGAACTGACATCCAAAATATGAATAGCAGTAACATTCTTCATTTTTCTGAGCAAAATCACGTAAGCAAGTTGTACTCTGCTATTGCACTGAATATGTCTTTTTACATTCCATGCAGATTGGCCAGTTAGTGCTTTTATTTCTTCTCTGGCAAACAAGAAAAGTTCCAAAAGTCCCATACCTGTTACTATAAACTACTGTTCAAAAAGTTTGTGAATATATATTAAAATGTAATTTATTCCAGTAATGGCAAAGCTGAATTTTCAGCATCATTACTCCAGTCTTCAGTGTCACATGATTGTTCAGAAATCATTCTAATATGCTGATTTGCTCCCCAAGAAGCAATTCATATTATTATCAATCAATGTTGAAAACAGTTGTACTGCTTCATTATTTGAATGTAAATGTAAATTGATCAATTAAATCCATCATTGCTGAATAAATATTATTATGTATGTATTATTTTAGCACAGTTGGGATGCTGTATTGACCAGTCAGCATCCAACTGCACACCACAGAATTGCCTCGTATATTTTCAGAAGACACCTGGGACTCTTTGAATTTTGTCTAATTGGATTCTCCGCAGGGCATGTTGTTATTCCCAAGTATTACTACGTGCCAGCAGACTTTGTAGAGGCTGAACAGAAGAAACATGGCAGCCAGAAGCGCTTCCCCAGCAACTCGGGGCGTGATGGGATGCTTTTCCTCTGGGGACAGGCCCTCTATAACATCGCTAAGCTATTGGGTGAGTTTCAGATCCATCCAGAGCCCAGGGGTCAGGCTGCTTCACACAACACAGGCACACACTAAGAGAGTTTACATAGATATTCTTTTATTTATTCATGCAGTGACTTTTGCGCATATTCGACAAAAGGAAAGAGAGACTAAACTACTGGGATCCCTCTGAAAGCTATTGACAAAATGGTTTATGAACCAAACTAAATAATGGAGGTCAACAAATGTTTTATTTTTGTATTTTTATGAATTACATTGGTTGTGTGAAACATTGTTAGCATTATTTTTTCAACTTCATGTCCTTTTGGTGACTTGTGCACTAATTTTTAAGACTTCTGAAGCCATTTTTGAGAGAAAGACAGAAAATGGAAGTCATTAATCTTCTCCTCCACCGTAGCTCTTGACTGGTCGTGCCACATCAAGTTGGATTTTCTGCAAGTCTAATAACAATCCCTATTAACTATTAACATGATTTTCCCCACAAAATATTGTATTTTCAGCAACGTTATTACCAATGCAGCACACCCAGAGTGATGCATATTGTAGGCAATGATTCATGTGTTTGCGTTGCAGTAAAATCCAGACCAGCAGAGATGTTAGTTGTCTATGCTAAGGGCTTGTTTTTAAATCGAAAACCTTGTCTGGGTTAAAAATGCAGAGATTTGTTTTAAAGCTGATGTGAACTGAAAAACAATAACTGGTTCCCGTTCTGTGTCTGCTGTTCAGTTGGTGGTTTGATCAGCCCAAAAGACATCGACCCCATCCATCGTTACGTGCCACGAGAGGATCAGAGGAACGTCAGCATGCGATACTCCAATCAGGTGAGCTGCATCCCATCTCTCTTCAGCCAACTACTCGAATACTAAAATCTATCCTGTAAACACACATGAATTGCCTGTGTATTTAATCTCTCTCAGAGCCTCATGCATAATTTGTTTTAGGCTTTTCTTCACATCTCCGTATCAGTCCCCTACAGCTGACTTGTTTTTCTGCATTTCCTAGCAGATCTGTTAGTGCTGAGACAGATCACACTGTTTTTGATAAGAGAAACCTTGGGACACCTGCTGTTTCATAGCTAGAAAAGTACTCCCTCATCTGTCTCTATAAACAGTCTGCAGTATCGCTTTTTTAATACAGCATCTGTTCATTCCAGTTTTGCTCAGGGTTTGTGTCGGAGCCCTGACAAAAAGTGGAACAGGTTAAAAAATGCACATGTAAATTAAAAAAAACAAAACATTTTCATCAGTGTAGCCTGTCTAGTAAAAAGCAGTTGAAACCTGTTGATAATTGTATTAAGTATACACTATAGACCCCTTTTGCGCCGACGTCACAGTTACGTCACGGCGCTAGCTGGAGGCAAAACAAAGTGAAAACTGGAGGCGACCAATGAAAAACAGCACAGATTCAGCTACATAATAAGGAGCTTAAATAATTGTTACTATTATTAAATGTCATCTTGTTTTGTTGTTTGGTGCAAGAATTGATGAAAAATGAATATGCTGTATCTGGAACTTTTATTTCTAGAAAATATTCACATCATTAAAATCGCACTGTAATGTCACTCTTTACATTGTCGTGGTCTCGGCGCTGGCTCGGCAGAACTGCGGATCATACACACAAGTCTTGCACAGGACCATATAGGTATCTAAAGATTTATATGCCCTCAGTTTCTCTTTACGATCGGTTTCTCTATAAGGTAGGTGTAGAAGTCAGGCCACTCAACCGAGGTAACGTACGTTAATCCTGTCAGATCATCCATGCATTGAGTGAGCGTGTAGGCGACTACAGGTCGGCCAATCTGGTTCCGTCCGTTAAAAATAACAATCGCAGTCCTGGACACTGGGCGACCTTACACATTAAGATAATATCAGATTTTCTCCAGTCATTGTTAAAAAAACAAGCTAACAATCCTTGCTAACTAGCGTTAGTGAAGCGGCCAGATGGATCTTTCTGCCTCCACCTAAGCTCCGCCCACGAAAAAACGTCACCATGGTTACCAACTGTAAAAGGGTCTATACCATTCAAAAGTTTGGCACCAGTAAGATTCTTTTCTCCAAATAAACTTTTCTAGGTTTTTAATAAACCTGGTCTCTATTTTAAATAAGCACTGTTCTGTTGAACTGTCTATCCATTAAAGAGTCCTGAAGAAAAGGGTTTAAACAAAAATGTTTAGCAACAACTATTTTGGGCATTGATGATAATAATAAATGTTATTTGAGCAGCATATTAGAATGATTTCTGTGGGATCATCTGACACTAAAGACTGGATTAATGATGCTGAAAATTCAGCTTGGACATTTACAGGAATATATGACAAATTAAAAAAAAAATAGAAAACTGTTATTTTAAATTGTAATAATATTTCACACTAATGTTGTCTCTACTGTATTTTTGGTCAAATAAATGTAGCCTTGGTGAGCATAACTTTGGTGTATGAATTCATTTTAGATTTTTTGTTTTTGTTTGTTTGTGAATCTGTGGTGTCAGCCCCTGGTCTGTAAATGCTTCACTGGTTTTGCTTCATGACTTTTAGATTAGAATTTTCATGTGATGTCTGTGGCTGTTGGGAAGCAGCAGTCTTGTTACAAAGAAGGGGTGTTTATCATGGTTTTTATACATAACACAGCGCTAGCTATTGAATGCAGACTTCATATAAGTATGTGAGGAATCAGGGAGCTATTAGAAATGTCACTTCCTGTCAAAAACGTCTGACGCTTCTATTGTGGTGAGAATGGTGACTCAGGCGTCCAATAAAAGCTAACAAAGAGGTTGAGATTAGTGCTGAGCGAGTGCTGAGATTAATGCTGAGCATCGATTTACGGTGGAAGACTAACCCGACCCGACGCACAATGCAATGCCGAACACTGAAGCTCCTTATCTATTATGTAGAAATGATTTGCTCTTTCCTCTGAGCTTCCGTGTTTGGCATTATTACATTGTGCGTCAGGTCGGGTTAGTCTTCCACCGTAAAATAATGCGTACGTCCTTCCGATTATAGTTTATAAAGTTTTAAATATGAATATTTTTCTTACAAAAACGCATCGTTTCGCTTCAGAAGGCATTTATTAACCCCCCGGAGACATGTGGAGCGCTTTTATCATGGATTGATGCACTTTTATGGACTTCAATCAGAAACAGCTATTCACTGCCATTATAAAGCTTGGAAAAGCCTGGACATTTTAATGTAACTCCCATTGTATCTGTCTGAAAGAAAAATCTCGTATAAACCTAGGATGACTTGAGGGTGAGTAAATCTAAAATTTGGCTAAATTAAATTTTCTATCCCTTTAATTGTATATTGCCAGCAAAATCCCTCCGAATAACCTCAGTCATAGTTGAGATGTAACTGTAATTTGACAAGTGTTGGCTTGGAAGTGCAAGTTTGTTTAATCAGAGGCGATGTTTTTGTTCATGAGTGTTGCACATCTGCATGGGATAGTGGGAGGGGCCATGCTGCTTTGAAGAGGGACACTGCATATTGCACAGTAATGCGTAATGTGCTTGTCTCTTTGCTTTTGGATCAAAGGCTACACTGGCTAAGGGGCTTGTTGCCGTGACTGCTGTTTATGTGATGTGTACATGTGCAGCAGGGTATGTTTGATTGGATGTAGTCATATGAAGTGTCGGTTTATGTTTGTCTTTGTGTTACGGCCTGTCTTTGAGCACCTTTATGCGACCATTATGTGAGACCTCATGCACTACATGATTGAATATCATTGCCAGTTTGTGTTTATGCATAAGTTGTTCTCAGCCTACACTTTTTCTCCTAACATCTCCCATACTTTGTCCCCAATATGAAGGCAGATCTTCATTCTGAACCATGTCCTTGCTCAGAGATTAGACAGGCTTTTTTTCCTGATTGATGGATGTACCCTCTTTCAACAAAGCACAGATGGAGCTCAGTTTAAATTTAGAAACGATTGTTCAGCAGAGCAGCCAAGGTGCAGGAAGCAGCCTCGTCTTTGTGCCTTTTAAACACAGAGAACAGCTTTTGAAATGCTTCCCTCGCTCACATACACAAGCTCAGGGAAAGAGGCCTACTTAGCTTTGAAGGCGCTGTATTTTTCTGATTCATATTTAATTTGTGCATTTAAGACACTTGTATTCCAGCTCAGTCCCATTGTTTTGTTGGCTGTTCTCAACAACTGAAAACACAGGATGTTACTGCGGTATGTTTTATTGGAATTGATTGTTTGGGGTTTGAGTTTAGGACTATGGGGATTGGACGCAACTCGTTCCACATGAAATGTCCTGTCTGCGTGTCTTTTTCATATGAGTCACTTCATAAACACCCCAAGGGAATTCCAGAACACACCACAAATAAACACTACAAATGGTGAAGACATATCAGTGGCCATACGGCATCCATCCAGTCTGGCTGTTGCTGAAACTATAGAGCACAGCACTAACAATCCCAAGGTCATAGGTTCAAACTACAAAATGTGTATCTTGAATACAATGTAAGTCACTTTAGATAAAAGCAACTTGTGAATGTATCTTGCGTTCGTTTGTTTGTGCGTGTGTGTGTGTGTTTTAAGTCCTGAAAATATTGATGGAAAATGTATGCACCCACATATGCACCCACATGAACACATAGCTCTAAAGCACCTCAATTGTCCACCTTCATGCTGAGAGGCACAAACAAAACACTTCACAGTGCAGGAGAGAACGATGATGGGTTGAAAATATTAAAGAGAGAGCAAAAGAAGGGCTGTACATTTGGGCAGGCAACATTCTGTAATTCTGTGCCATGTGGAAACATATTTGTTGTTGGAGCTGAAAGTCTTTTCTCAAACGTCTTCGGAGTGATGACAGATGTGTTGTATGTTTATCACCGACAGCCAGCAGACGTGATGAATGTGGCAAGATATCATTTATGTGTCACTCACTCAGTTAGTATAACTCCACACTTTATAGTACGAGAATCCAAATCCAGTGTCACTCTGATGTTGTAATGTTTGGAGTATATTTCACTGGAAAAATATTTCAGGATAAACCATGTCATTCCATGTCATCTCCTAGTAAGTAATGGTGATCAAGCATTCTTCCAGCCTGATGCATGGATGTATTCAGCAGCCAGCTAGTCAAGACAAACAAAATTAAGCTGTTTTTAGGCTGTGAAATCTAAAAAAAAAAACTTTTTTTTTTTTAAGAGTAAAGTCCAGAAGCTTGTCTCTTTTAAGTTTTGTCCAAACCCTGCTTAAGTGGTTTGGGGAAGAAAAATTTCAGACTTAGGAGCATTAAATTGCAATAAAGAGTATTTACTCTTATTAAAATCAATTTATACTTATTTGAACATAAATGACTCTTAAATGTACTCATTTGAAACAAAATAACTAAAATGTCCTTAAAGGGTTAGTTCACCCAAAAATGAAAAACCCTCTTGACGTTCCAAGCCCGTAAGACCTCTGTTCATCTTCAGAAGACAGTCTAAGATATTTTAGATTTAGTCCGAGAGTTTTCTTTCCCTCTATTGAAAATGTATATACACGGAATACTGTCCTTGTCCATAAAGGCAATAAAGACATCATCAAAGTAGTCTTTGTGACATCAGTGGGTTAGTTAGACTGTTTTGAAGCATCGAAAATACATTTTTGTCCAAAAATAACGAAAACTACGAATTATTAAACATTGTATTCTCTTGCAGTTCTGCGTTCACGAGTCTACAGAGACGCTGCTGACGTGTGCACTGGTTATAATACTGGTTACTGGTACCAGAGAACACGTCAGCAGCGTCTCTGCAGACAGAACCGGAAGACAATCCCCCTCAATCCCCAGTAGCACCTGCTCTCATTGGCCAAGAACCAATTTCCATAAATTT